ACCCATACAAGCTATACGTCTCAACATGGCTCGAGTCCATAGCAACCTTCTGTTTGTACGCCTCGACCTTGTCCTTCAGAGCGTTCTTCAAGCTCTAAAGAGTCATTTCAGAAATCATTGAACTCCAGTCATAATTACAGAAAACTTCCCACCGATCCACAATCCCAAGGAGGCTCGTGTCCATTTTCTGCTTCCTTTCCTTGCCCATCATGGCAAGCTCTATGAAGTACACTATAGCAATCTTCACAGCGTCCTCGTCATTTTTGAATGTGTGTTCTAAAAAAATTTTCTCCAACTCCGAACACTTCACACTCGCCTTGTCTTGAAAATACAGAATTCTAAGTCTCCGGTTATGCACATCATCGTATACCCTATTCATGGTGTGTCTAAGACCGGTTATTAGGTCGAACTCCCGCTTCCCAAAAGAGACCCTATTCCCGAATAGGTTAAAGCTAATGAGGTCGTCTCTAGGTTCCTCCACCTCTCTAAGCAACAGGTGATGGAGCAACGRAYCGTTAAATACAAMGTTCATCCCTAAAATYRGACCAAAACATGTTTGACTAAACATGTCTAACTGAGAGGGAGTTAACCTAGCCTTAAGACGAGAAGAGGTTTTCCCTACGTGAGCGAGATTTGACAGCGCGGCCGGGAACYAGTCGTCTTGGTTGATCTTAAGTGTCATATCCATGTCTCCTGTAACAAAACAAAACAATATTGCTWAGAAACGGACCGGGTTGAAGTCTGGGATGGAATCCAGAAAGACTTTCTGGATTCTATCTCGGGCCTCGTCCCGGTCCATTTCGAACCAGGATGAGTCCCAAGATGGATTCCAGAAGGATGATCTTTCTGGATACCATCTCGGTCTTCATCCCGGTCTATTTCGAACCGGGATGAGGCCCGAGATGGAATCCAGAAAGACCATCCTTCTGGAATGGACTTTTAGGGTTTCATCCCGGTCCTAAATCCACCGGGCTTAAAGCCGAGATGGAACCCTGAAAGTCAAAAATTAAAACAAAACATCAAATGAAAGCAACAATAAATCAAACTTCATAATAACCTTGGCTACTTCAGATAGAGCCGAAGGTTGAAATCATTCACACCCACGCAAAGAACGAAGAGAAAAAGGTAGAAAATCATTCACAATAAGATCGTGAGTTCGAAAGAAAAATTACCTCAATTAGGGAAGGGGGAAGGCTCTGATAGAGACGAAGTGAGGGAGACGAAGAAGAAACGACGGAGATGATTTTTCTGGTTGTGAGGGAGAGACCGGGATGAAGACTAGGATGGACAACGAGATAGTGAATGAGGGAGGGGAAGGACCGAGACAGGGAGGGAAAGGAGGGGAGGGCTGGGTTTGATTTCTTTTTTTAAATTGAGGGTAATTTGATAATTTTACCAAGCAAAATAAGGGGAGGGGTCAGAAATCTGAGGTGGGGGGGTCATAAATAGGTAAAAATCAAAAGGGGGTCAAAAGTCCAAAGTAGTTATTGGAATGGGTCAAAAATCCCAATTTCCCGTCTTGAACTCTATAAAAACAAGCCCATCATAATAATGCACTAAATCCACTAAATGTTGCAATGAGAACGAGGTAAATTTATTTGAGCTTTCTTATTTCAGTAAATTGATAATCAAGGTGATCGCAAATTGTGACCTGATAGTCTCAACTATCAAAACAACTTATATATTGAATTTAGGTTGAGAAAACTGAGGACATATATTTGAATTTCAAGCTAGTCACTTCAATTTCTTAGGGGTGAAAGGATTCTTGTGCTGCTGTTGTTGCTTTTTTGATATTGTAATTGGGAAGAGATGAAAGGATTTTTGAAGACTGAGTTTGAATAAGCACTATCATTAAAGTATGCTATCTTTTTCATTTCCCTTTCATGTTTATCTAATGTTGTGTTTTTTTTGGACTTCTAAAATGCTATGACCGAAAAAATGGTAGAAGTTTCTCCAGGACTAACTTATCTTAAATTTTATAGCTCTATTATGTCAGGTAAAGATTGATGTTTACATATCGGGGACTTGTTAGTTAAATAGATGTGTGTCACACACTAGTTGGACAAAGTGGACACTTGTTATAGGCACATATGAACACTTGTTAATTATAAAAAATAGACATAAATAGTAACACAAACTTTGAAGATTATGTCTGCAAGTGTTTTGAGATTTTGCTCTCCATTTCAAAGTTTGAAGTTGATGCTCTGCTCTATAGCCACAAATAGATGGTTAAGTCGTGCCTTTTTGTGACTCTATAAATATTGGTACACTATCTATTCTCTGTCACTTTTTATTTCAATTATACATTTACTCCATATATACTCTCTCTGTTTTCTCAATTTTTTCATTGTTGATGGACATCACAACATTTCAAAAACTTTACCATTTTGTAGGTGTTATATTAGAAAAATCCAAGTTCATAAAACTTTACTATTTTGATATTTTATTTAATATGACCGCACGAAGAGCGGATAGCTGGACAATAGCTTACTATGTTGATATTTTTATTTTTTTATCACTCTTATTGGCTGATCAATTACTGTTAATTTTGCTAATGCTTCCATAAAAGTTAAAGAAATTATCTCAGGTGTCGTTGCTATTTATTGCCTTCATTGATTTTGACTGTATCGGGCGATCATCAACACTGCGTCTTGGATTTTTGCAGTTGCTGCCAATACAATGGATAGGGCTTTTCTTTCCTCCATTACTCTTGGAGATAATACCGCTTATTGGGTAAACTCTTGCCAGATTTAAGGTTGATTTATTTGCATTAGAAGTTTACTGTTTACTCAATCTTTTTTGCCCAAATTCAAGTATACTGAAATGTCTAAGACTAGAAGGTTTGTTTTTATACACTCTTATTCACTAAGAGCAACTTTCGTTGGGCTGAAAGTTTTTAATTTGGAATGAGGCTTTGTTGTTAGTGTTTTTACTCAATTATTTTTTTAATGAGGAAAATAAGATTGAGTTAGAACACTTACAATAAAGTATCATCCTACACTGATCGCACATACCTCCAAAGTTTTGTCCTCTCAATCATTTGAATATCGAAACTTTAGATTCACATACCCATCGTAGTTTTCGTTGAGAAATTTTATGTTTTGGTTAATGGTGCTTAATTTTGTTTATGTACATTATATTATAGTTTTCTAGCTTTCTTCTCAAGCTATTAAATATCAATTCGATATTGAAATTTTGAGAGAAGCTCTAGTTTAGATTTTCTTACATGACAGTTGCTTCTATGTATGTTTCGTTGGTTTTAATATGATTCCATAATTTCTCTTCCTTACCATTGAGCACCATTGTCTAATGTGTAAAAATTGTTCCACTAACACTAGCATCTAAAGTTTCATGAAAACCACCATCAATTAAGTTTGGCTGGCTCATAACGGGATATATGAAGGTTTTAGTTTCATGGCTTTCAGCAATTTGTGAGGCTTTAAGAATTTGTATGCATTTGTGGTTCATGGGTCCAAAAATCTACATGTAAATCGTTTGAATGTCATCTTATGAAATTTCAGGAACATTGGGTTCAATTTTGGAAAGGATTTCTTTGCTACTATCATGGGATTTGTCTGCTATCATGAGATATTTGTTTGTTGTCACGAGTCTTAGCTATTGTCATATGTGAATCATTTACATTTGTTTGTTATCATGTGTCTTACCTACTGTTTGGGTTTTTTCGAATCTAATTGTCTTGTCCTTCTAGATTTGTTTTTTTTTCACGTCAAAATTGCATAGAAAATTGTTTTTTAAAGCCCATGATACAAGTTTATGGTACAAATAATCTCTTTGGTCCAAAAAATCAATAACAGGAACAATCATGTTTGCCTACATTTATCCTTATCCTAAAGTTCTTATTTATTTTATTCACAACATTTTCATGCAATGATTTCAAGTTAGGTTTCTTTTTTCATTTTCAACTTTTGAGTTTTTACTTATGGTTTTGTCAAATTTTGTTATCACTGCATCTTTGGTGTGTTTTCAAAGACGGTTGGAAGAATTGAAGCAACAGAAGGATGATGGTCTTCTTAGAAGTCAAGTAGTGAAGAACCAAAGGGTATGTCAATATTTTTGTGCTTCAATTTCACGTTCTACTTTTGATATTCATTTTTAAGTGCAATGAAATAAATTTGCTGAAGTTCTATTTGGTTTCTAAAGCTTCCTGGTTGGTCTAAGCTTCTAAGAATATTTCCTTTCTGGTTTTAGGCTTTGTGGGACATAAATCTTGAGTTGAGATTATTGCTTCAAAAGGCATTTTCCAATTCAAATAGATTGCCAAAGGTCTCTGGGTAGAAAACTACAATTCCTGAAATCTATATATTATTTTATATTGTTGAGTAAAAATTTTGTTCAAAATAGTCTTTGGTTAGGTAACTTCAAACAGGTAGGGATCATTATGTACCTAATTCCAAGGGCTAGGTAATTTGAAATGTATTTGAAGGTAGGTAGATTCTTCTATCTTCGAGGGGTTTTCATATTGAAATGTGTTAAGTCTTGTGGCTCTTTTCGTGGACTTATTTAGTTACTTGTGTATTATTAGCAAGTTTAAGCTTATTATTTGGATGTTTTTGTACTTCTAAGAGCTTAGCTAGCCTTTCAAATTGACTCACATCATTGCTTATTGTTTTTCTTTGGGGATTAGAAATAACGTGTATTGAATAAGTTTTGAATAGTACAATTGCATAACTATTGATACGAACATTTCTTAGCTTTACTTATGTTCATGTAATGTAATAATGAATATTGTTATTTATTTCACCATTGGTATTTATAATTTTTTTTTTCTATTTTCTTGAAATGTTTTTGTAGGTGAATGATATGATACCAGTGCATATGCAACTCATTTTCTACTCTATATTACTTTATTCTTAGGACTTTGGTGAAAATTTTGTAATTTTGAGATCTAATAGTTGGAAATTACTTTTGGTAAATTTATATAACAATATTTCTCTGGTGAAATATTGAATAATGAATGCTTTATTTTGTGATGTAATTGATAATAAAACTTCATTTATATAAAGGATGTAATGGTATATTTAATGTGTCAATTTAGTATTTTTCTATTTCTATGTTTATTCAACTACTAACAAGTTTTGAAGTAAATTCGATTGAACTATACATATCAAAAGCTAAATGATATAAGAAATCGACTGATAATTATAGCAACGAGAAAAAAAGTATAGAAATATATAATAATGCAATATAAAAGTTATATACACAACCTAGTAGTGTAAATAAAAAGGCATTATAAGTTTAAGATAACATAAAATCTGAGTTACAGTAACTATTAATACTCACATGATAGCATTAAAAAAAATTGAAGATAGCACAAAAAGTGAGCAAGAGCTATCTAAACATATAATAGCGTTAAATTAGAACGCTATTAAATGTTTTTATCTACGTAAATATGCAATAATTTCTTTATTTATTATAGCATTAGTTATAGCATTTGAAAAACGCTATCAAAAGTCATGGACTTTTAATAGCATCGGCTGTCACGACTCTCAAAAAACTCTATAAAAAGTCTTTTATAGCGTTTTTAATGAGCTATTGTATCCACTTTTTCTTGTAGTAATTTTTTTAAAAGATTTTTTTAAGGCATTTACGAGAGGAATTTTAAAACTAACTTATCTCATGTTTGAAATAAAGAAAATAGTTGTAAAGATCAAAAAGTACTTGCTAGTAATTGGAGATAACATTTAACAAAGGAAATTAGATAAAATAAAGAACTCGATGTTCTCCTAGCTTGACCTTCGTCTCTTTCGAGATTGAAGAGAGATAAATCTCGCTAGAACA